TTCGTAACTATTAAATAAATTACGATCAACTTGACGAGATTCAACAAGCTTCCGAATACGACAGTATGTTTGTTTCTGAGCCGCTCCTTCGGCGGATCGAGAAATCACAACTATAATGTGGTCTTAATCCTAAAGGTGAGACTCTAAACTTTGAACCCTCAAGACTTAAACATTTTAGTATAAAGTTGTCATAAAGCACACTCCGGCTACAACTGATCATCTTCAAGTAAACACGCCAAATGGATTGAAATGTTATATATAAGCAGGTTACTTATAATTACTGTAGACATTTCAGAGAAAAATTCCGTTTATTTGATCACCCATCGAATTCTTAAAGTTAAAAATAAGGGCCTTGCGTAATAACTGTAAGCACTTTGTGGGTGGTCCGTTCCTAAATTACTGTACCATTACTGCCTAACTTCAATAGTCAAAGAACATTTAGCATAGTTTACGGCAGGAACTCCTGCCTTTTGCACCTGCTGAACATTCTTTCAATGCCCTGCTTAAAATAAAAGGCATTAGCACTCACATCTCAAACCCTTTTGAAAATATATTAATTCTAAAAAGGCAAGATCCTCTATGTAAAGTCCTTTATCCTTTATAAAGTCGTGTTACAGCAAAAATCAGCTAGCACAGCTTTTCAAGTAGCGGACTAACGATCTTAACACACTTGTAGTAAATATACATAATATTATTATTCAGTATTATTTGTACAACTTTACTATGAATTTGATTTGCTTCATCTGAAAAAGACTGACTGTGACATAGTCAAAATATCATTCTTCAGAACGTACCAAAATTAAGCTTCGTTCAAAGCAATGCTAGATGCTCTCTCAAGCATGTCTTTAATCTACTTCGGTAAAATTAAACTCATCACGCTGGCTCATACGACAATAGGCTCTGACTTTAAACATTTTAATAAACAAAAAACATTTAAAACAAAATGCATAAAATATAAGTATGCCATATTTTTAATAGGGCATCATTAAAAACTTTAAGAACTGAAAGAACAACGTATAAAATATCAACGACATCCGTCGTCGAGTAACAGATCGAACGGGGGACTGCCTTTCACGAAGCCTTCTATAAATTGTGCATGCAAATCACCGCTAATCGCCAAAGCTTTGACTTCAGGAGTGGATTGCATCCGGAAAACGTACTGATGTAGCTTAGGGTAATCTTCCCTGGTGATTTCGATGCGACCGTGGGACAATGACGCGACGGCCTCCATTCGTTCCACCCACGGCCACACCATGTAGTCCGCCCAGCCTGGGTCTCGTCCTAGAATCCTCACGAATCAGACGGCGGTACAAAAAGTAAAACTACAGCCATACCTACCTCCAAGGAAGTAGCCCTTCAGTAAATCTTCAAAAGTCCCTAAGTTGTTCTGCATGAAAGAAATGCAGTTCGCGTTATTCTGGTCTCGATACCAAGCCAGCATTGCGGAGCCTAACTAGAAAATAATCAAACGGTACAACTGAACAAGCGAATAAAATACACAACAAATAAAAAAACTATCCTAAAATGGCTTCGTTACATAGAACATATAAACCTAACCGAAAAAAGCAATTAAATAGTAAACAATGACAAAGAAAGTAGTTGGATTTGCATCGTATGCCAATTACACACTGTATGGCTAATATTCAGGTAAGTGAAAATTGAAGCCATAAACCGCACGCATCAGACAATGATTGGAGATCTTGCAAGCTATGGTATTAGACCATACTACAAAACCATGCTGTGCCAGCAGTTTCTAGACTTTCTATCTAAAGGAAATACCTTACTGCCGGGAAACACAAAGATAAATTTTAAGCGGCTAAAACAATCAAAAAAATGACTGCATTCTACGTCAGTGACTGTATAAAAAATTTGCAAAACGTTAAACAATGCAAAGATAAAGAAAATGAAACGACAAAATTAATTACTACTTCAAATGCTGCTTTTGTGTTTTACCGATACGTGACTATCATAGCGGTCATTTATTATTAAATAACCGGTTAGCGTTATAACGTTACCACTTCTACCGTTTACTCCATTACAGGAATAAAAGGTTGTGTTCAACTTTGAAAATTCTACCGAAACTAGATTTAATATTAAATTATAACAGATGTATATCTATTGCTTTGTAATTCATATCATGTATGTAATTAGAACTGTAATGTATTTTTTAACAATTTAGTTGGAACTTTTAGACAATTTCAGGTTATCTTGGTTTTACAGTAATAAGAATAAGACTTACAACAGTCAGGCGTTCAGTAAGCATTTTTTGCTTCGCCTTTTGATATGGATCCTCCGGCAATAGTTTCCTTCCGCCATAAGTTTCATCGATCCATTCCGATGCTATTAGCGATTCGTATACGATCAGACCGTTACTTTCTATGCATGGCACCTTTTTCAACGGGTTCTTTTCGACGTACCAGTGAGGTTGGTTCTTTAAATCGATATTAATTACTTCGAAACTAAATTAAAAATTAATCAAATCAATTTAAGTGTGATTATTATAAACTATTCATTTAAACGAGAGAATATTGTCTGCTGCTTGGCAGCACCTCAATGCCAAGTACGGAAGAGGCGAAAGAGTGCTACTGGCACTTGATTCCATTTAAGACCCTCTCCAATCTCTAGGGATATAGAGAAAAGGCCAAAATTTGCGTACGCGCTACTGACCAGTTAAGCAGCCATAATATGAACACTCCAGGATGTATATCTGGTCGGCGGCAGTAAGATGAAGGATATAAATAATATATGGTGCAAATGTTCCCATTACTCCTCCTCTCTAATCCCGGATATGATCTCTTTCCTTCGTCTTGAAGTAAAAAAGTATAGGAGGTATCCCATATACAATGGCAACGGGAATGTATAACAGAATAATAATAATGCAAATGCACTACTGATGATTATTAAATTACGTAATAAGAGCAGTTAAAGTTAACAGAGTGACGCTGGATCAGAAACAAAAGCGTATGTCGTCTGTATCCGTAATAAACTTACTCGAGGTATGGACTCCTTTGTTACTAAACGTTTATTTCATTCCGCAGAGAATCTGCCCAATATTCTTCGACGAAACTACCTAAGGAACAAGCAACTGAGTCCAGACGAAGATCCAAAACAATTCTGCACCTTAATGTGGGGAAACATCTGTGAAGCAAGTGCAACCAAAGACATAAAATAGTACTTGCCTCCTCCCTCAGATGAAGATCCTTGAATACCGAGTTAGTGACATTACAAGGAGTTTAAGTTTGCTAGAGTTCCGATGAAGTTCTCAATGGCATCCTCTCAAAATACAGTTAAGCACTGAAAGAAAACACAATTCCGATCTACCTTTTTTATGCAGTAACGATTAGCTCTAGCAATTGTTATAAGACTAAAATTTCTCGTAAGCCCAGATATAACACATACTGTTTAACTGGCATAATCATATAAA